GGGCCTGATCCCTCGTGACAAAGGCTTGCCACCCTCATCTCTCAGGAGCACTCTGACAGCACCAGCACTTCTTCCAAGATGGATGTGTTTGTTCTTCCGACAGTCCATGATACTTTCAATATTCTTCTAAGACACCATAATTGAAATCCCTTGATTCTTCTGTAGTCTTCCTAAATCATTGTCCAACTTTCACAAATGAAAATACTATGCTGTGATAGTTAAGGTTTCTTAACAACTTGACTGGGCCAAGATCTCAGTGGTTTGCAGTTAAGATGTAGTCCCCCTCTCATAATGAGATCTAATATACTACTATCACCTCTATGATAAGGTCTGCTATGAGCGCCAATCAACTGAAGGGAAGCTTCCTGGGGGTGTGGCCTGCTTCCAATATACTGGCCACTCAGACAAGGCTTGTTTGTTCCATGCGGGGTCTGGATCTTATATCTGGCTCATCCTCCTATCTCTAGTTTTCTGAGCTTGAGTCAGTGGCCTGCTCTCATCTATGGAGCCAGGGAGTTATCAGAAGCCTGCCTTCTTGCCTGTTGGACCTGCTACCATCTAATCCTTGCCGATATTGTTTCTTCAGTCCTGTAGCTTAATGAGTCAGAAGACTGACATCTCACCAACTACTTGGAACTTGCCCACCTCCATAATTGTTTGTATCATTTTTGTGATATAATCCTTTCTTTATATATACATGAATAAGCTTCGCTTGTGTGGCTTCTGTAGAGAATCCAGCCGAAGAACATGGGTTCGTTCAGGCAAACTTTAATCCTCAAACTGACATTCTTACTCTTTAACACTTTTATTAAAAGGCCTTTGGCATCAGATTTGCCCAATGTAATACATCATTTGAATCCTTAACTATGGCTTTAGTGGCAATTGATTGTGGATTCAAATAAAGTTAAATCCTTAACAACTTCAACCATTTCTTTGTTCATCATGTCGATTGCTGTTCTGTTCCAGCTGTGAGGATTTTCGTTTTTTTTATGTTGAAGTATAATCAATACTAACAGCTGTTGTCTTTGATCTTTATAAATACGAGTTTCAAATCTTTACTTTCAGCAAGCAAGGTTGTGTCATCTGTATATCACAGGCTGTTAATGAGTCTTCCTCCAATTCTGGTGTCCTATTCTTTTTCATATAATCCAGCTTCTTGGATTATGTGCTCAGCATTTACTGTGGCTTTACTTTAGTCTTGCATACTTCCAACGTCTTCATTTCTCTTGGTCACATTGTGCTGATTTCCCTCATGTCGTGTATTACCGTTTCTTCACCAGAATTGATACATGGCTGGTTGCTGTAGTTTCGTGGTTATCATGTTCACTTCACACACAAAAGGTCACTAGTTCAAAACCAGGCAGAAACAGTTCCATTTGGAGTCCTGTGTAATGTTTTAGGATAAACACTAAAACCATATACAGAGTCACTACAAGTTGGAACCATCTCGATGGTAACTTAACAACAACTATCTAGTAAATGACTCTCCCTTCTTCCCCATCCCATCCCTGTTCACCATCAAAGAACACTGCTTTCTGTGTATAAAACTACTTTTGACTTTTACAGATTTATCGTACAATAATTCTCTTTTTGTGGACTGCCTTATTTCTCTCAGCATATTTCCTCCAGAGTCATCCATGCTGTAAGAGGCTTCCTAGGCTCATCATGGTTCTGGATAACATGCCCTTGTACAAAGGGACCACATTTTGTATATCCATTCATCCACTGATGAACATTAGTTTGTTTCCATCTTTTTGCTATTCTCAACAACATTGCCATGAACATATATGTATGCATAAATCGATTCACACCACTGCTCTTATTTCTCTAGGATATGCACAGATGACTGAAATTGTTGGCATATGGTATTTCTCCTCACAGCTTTGTGAAGAAGTGCCATAGTGCTTTCCATATTGGTGGTGCCATTTTTCAGTCCCACCAGATGTTTTATAAGAGTTCTAACCTCTCACAACCTCGCGGTTTTCTTGATTAGCGCCATAATTGTTGTCTCTAACTTTGGCTTGCATCTCTCACATGATTAATGACCAACTCTTCATCTATTGTTAGTCTTCTGAACGTCTGCTTTAGTGAAGTGTCTATTCATGTCCTTGGCTTTTTTTTTTTCAAATTTGATTGCTTGTCTTTTTATTGTCAAGGTGTTGAAGTTTTCTATATATTTTAGAGGTTAGACCTGTAACAGATATGTTGTTGTTAAAGATTTTCTCCCCAGTCCAAAGGTTCTCCATTGACTCTTTTGGTAGTCTTTTGATGAAAATAAATATTTAATTTTTAGGTGGTATCATTTGCCTAATTTATCTTCAGTCATGTGCACATGTTTAGCTTTCACTGATAGGATATTTATGCCATAAATTAAGACCCTCAAATTTGTTCCTATGTGATCTTCCATGAACATTATAGCTTTAGGTTCAACTTTTAGTTTTCTCATCTATTTTTTTTTTTTAAATGTTTTATTGTGAATTATATGATAGTTTACATGGGAGAACATTAGCTTTACATTCAGCCTATCTATTGTATATAATTTCATTGCCATGGTTACAATCTCCTCCATGCATCATCAACCAACAAGAGGGTATACAACACAAACCAACCCCACCTCTCGGTCATCAGCACACAGCCCCTTTCCCTCTCTGGGTCTAGAGTCCCCAGTTGCTCCATCTCTCCACGTCATCATCTCTGCCTCCATCTCTGGGGTCACTGCTTCTCTGGGTAGGGTCCCCATTCTCTGCTCTTCTCCCTTCATGGCCCCAGGGACCTCCCCTCCTAGACTGCAAAGTTAATCACTCCCCTCCTTTTACTAAAAAACATCTACCTTTACATTTCCAACCCTCACAATCAGTCCTGATAACAATTATTCACTATTGTATCACAAGAGACCTATCCACATTTCCTTTCATCAGCCCTGCCCAGATAGACTGGATACTACTCAGTGGAGATTCTACCTTCCTCCATGCCCTCTGGATCTAGATTCCCTCTTGAAAGCTTGTAAGCCAGTCACTTCTTGCCTTTGTAGCCCCCACTCCCCATTTTGGGTAGCCAATGGCCAAGTTGCCCATCCCTGTCTACTCTGTGTATTTCTCATCTATTTTGAGTTAGTGTTTTCTTACAATAGGTATGAGGTATGGATCCTGTTTCTTTTTTTTTTTTTAAAACTCCACACAATCTGAGTAAGAGCTCTCCAGAATATCTCCTACTCTAGCCTCTATGCTCTTAGAGGCCCCAAACAACTTTGTTTTGTCTCTTTATTATTTCAGCATAATAGTGGGAACATTGCTATTGCTCAACAGATAATTGCTACATTTTTAGCTGAAAGTCAGGAACTGCATCTCTTCTTGTATTTAACATTCTGTTTTAACATCTAAAAACTATGCAGCCATACTCACATGAACTTTCCTGTAGCAGGCCTATAGCCCAGCATCAGGGAGTTCAGTTTATGTTCTGTAGTCTCTACTAGAGAAGAGAGAGACATAGGATCTCATTTTTCTCTACATGATAATTCTAAGTCATTATTACAAAACTTTAAAGTCCTGAAGATTTGGGAGTCACTACTTACTATGTTCCAAATTAAAGGACAAAACAAAATCTCTGCAATTTTTGTTGTAACCATAGTTACTTATTCCCTTTCCTAGAGTAACTGGCATGTCTTCTATTTTGCTTTGTTTTCTGATGAACTTTAAGACTGCGCTTACATCATTATTATGATTATATTAGGCACCCACTTCCTCAGTGGATCAACAGTAGTGCTTAAGCACACGGTTTCTGGAATGTGTGTTGGTATGATGCTGACTACAAATCAGTGTTCCAACAAGCCTTGTCTTTCCAACGAGGGAGGAAGTGAAAAATCTTCCACTTATAAATACAGCATCAACAACCCTTCCTGTATTAACAATCAGTATCTTCCCTGGTTTATTAGAATCTGGTGTCAGGCATAGGACTCCTCACCAGGGACTCTACAGATATTCTGGGTGACCAGTAAACGTGTGAGAATGTCCCACTCATTGCAGAAACCTATCTGCCCTGGCCCAAGACAGTAAGTAAAAGCCACCGAATCACTGCAACAATCGAAAACACCCCATGACTTTCCAAAAACCACAATGCAGGTGACACTACTCCCACTTGAGGAACGCATTTATTCCGAATCTCCATGTTGCTGTTGCAGTTAACGTGCCATAGCAGCCTTTTATAAAGCTTCTGAGGAGTGGCCGGTGGATTTGAATTGCCGACCTTGCGGTTAGCAGTTCAGTGCTTATCCTACACAGTGCCTCACCAGGACTTTATAGTTTGTTAACAACTCAATTTCCTATACATGCCTTTGAAAATGGCCAAAGAGGTATTTCACTGTGCCTATAGCCCTGGGGTGGTGCTGTAGGAACGGCACCGGGCTGCTAGCCACTAGTTGGTGGTTCAAACCCACCAGTTGCTCTTTGGAAAGCCTAAACACAGGGTGCTAGGAGTCCGAACTGACTCTATGACATTGAACAACAATATATGACTTGTAAGACTTTGGGAGAGATAGTATTGGGGTGGAAGGCAAAAAA